ATAAATTTGCTAGTAAACCCTTTTTGTTTTCGGAACAAAGCATGTAAAGAAGTGAAGCAGTGCCTCATAGGAAATGTTGGCAACATGCATGTTGGCTAAAAAATTGTGATTCTACTGGTTGTGCGTGGAAATCAAGCAGTACGTTAGAAATACGTACATAAAAAGAGTCAATCTAACCTGATGCTTGTTCAAAGAGCTTTATTTCAAGGTGTAAATGGTCAAATATATTCTATTACCGATCACTATATTTACTTCCAAACGTGTGAAAGAGTAGTTTTGGAGGCCAGCCCCTTTGCCATCGGTATACTCTGAACACGATTGAACTGTAGCCGCCATGTTGCCAAATAAATACAAGCACGTGATCACAGCATTGGTTATACTTAAAATTCCACCGATAAAAATCGTATAATATCAAAACGTTTTGATGTTGTCCGATTAAAATCGAGCAACAAAAATCGGTTACAAATAACACCGCACACACAACGATTTTGTTAGTTTTAGTAAAACGATTTTAATCGGCCGACTAAAATCGCATCGCGTGCGCCAGGCTTTAGTGTCAATTCGATGTAATTATTTTCGCGAATTATTGAACATATTCCACGGAAACATATGTCAAATTTCCCTCACCACCTCTTATAAAAATTTAACTTTTAAACCAGACTATAGTGCGAAACATTAAGCAGTAAAAGGCCACCGCCATTTGTCGAAAAATGCAACATAATAATCACTTTTCCCGGCATGCGTTCCGATGGCTGGAATTGGCTATTGTAAGTCTCGTCACACTACATCTTACCACAACATACAGCTAAGCACAGTCTTGGTATACCAGCGAGTAGAAGAGCAAACAGCATCCAATGTGATCGGCACCTAGCCATGCTTTAATCCTCGTCCTTGAGATAACATGCAGCAGTAAAGCTGAGGAAGAACAATGCCAAGGTTGCTGCAAGTTTACGTAAAACGTCTTAGCCACTTGACAACATCCGTTTCGTCAGAGCTCTTAAGCACTCCATGTCCAAGAGCGTTTCAAGACAAATGTGCATAGTTAAATAGTTTCATTTGCTGATAACAAATCGGTATTTAGTTTGAGACAATTCATTATTCATGTCACCACCTAAAAATAAAAAAATGTTTAATTAAGTGCTTTGTTCCGTAATAATTCCAACCATTGCGTTAGACCTTTCTCATAATGACGTCAAACACTGAAAGCTATATATAATTTATGTGATGTCCATAATTACAAATTACTAATAATTTCATTTCAAGAAAGTATTATCAAATTACTAATTAGTTATATCACTTCTATTGGGATTCACTATTTGTACAGCAGTTCATGTCGTGACGTCATACGGCCAGTTCCGATTGGGGAAGGCTCGTGTATGTCACTAATGGCACACAGCATGATTACATGAACAAATAGCAAAGGTTTATACACTATGTTTATAACGATGAATATGTATTAATTGGTGACATAGTAGACAAATTTACTGGAGTATCGACAGGACATTTATTATAGAAAAGTATATAGTACTTTCATATGATCCATATGAAACAATTTATACAGAATTTATATATTTATACTGTTGACAAAAGTGTTTTCACTCGTTGTCGCATGGCATGTATCTCGGCGTGGTCACACCAAGGGCGAAAATCGGGGATTTTCATCAGCATTTCACCAGTTAATGGCTCCTAGAAAGTGGTGAGTATAAAGTAAACTGTAAATTAAATCTACTAGGGAATTTTGTCAATATGAAAGTACATATAGTGATATATCAGGAAACCAGATGTCAGGTTAAATATGCCTATCAATGTGGCTAAATAGTGTGATTTACTTTAATTAGCATCTCTGCAAATTTCATGACATAAATTCCACAGTCCACCAAGTTGGGTTGCTGTGGAACCTAGAACATATAAGATAGGAAGTGCTGAGTTGTTATATTACTACCGTACCTTAAAAAACAAGCAGAAACTCGACGTTTCGAGCAAATGCCCTCGAAACGTTGAGTTTCTGCTTGAATATAACCACTCAGCACAGCATTTTCACATTGGTACTACCCACACTGGTACAGACAGTTTTAGTGTTTACGGATGGATGTTAACATGAGATTTACTGTACTTTGGACTGTCACGGCTACAACACCTGTGGTATTTTTCTACACTATGTAGATTATTTGAAAAGAAGCGATTTACCAATGGGTGAACAACCCGATTGCTCTTAAAATCATGTTCAAGGCCTTTTTTGACTGCCCATTCTACACTTAGGTACCTAAAAGTAAAAAATATAGATAATTTCATTAAAAATTTGAACCAGCCAAATACTGTTAACTTTCTGGTGTTAAGTTTGTGGCTTGTGCACCCTTGCATTTAATCATGTGAAAGCAATTGATATATGTACAACCTTGAATTTTCCTAACATTGTGGCACTTAATCAAGGTACTGCAACAAAATCAACTGTTAAATTTCAGTTATACAGTAATTGAAGCAAAAAAGCATGCAATGTGGTACATTTTAATCCAAACAAATTTTCTTCTGTAGTACTATGTTTTTCAGTTTGAAGTGCTATAATGGTTATTAATCAGGTACATACATGGAAATTTAATAAACATACATGATTGTGCAGGTATATTATTAAATGAATATAAATTAAACCTCATTATAATGTCTGTTGTATGGCGATGATGTGTTGTCACCAATCCTGGTGTGGTTGAACAGTTCATGGAATCAAACACAACTATTGTTGAACTATAAAAGTGGAAAAAAGCAACTTCTATTTTACTGACCAGTATATACATCTCTATTAGTGTTGCACACTGCATCATCATTGACTTGTTTGGTAGTAAAAAGTGCACAGTATATTAAAAATTAAGCAAAATTATCTGAGATTTTATTTTAATTTGTAATTACTGGTATATTTGGATACTGTATTGGCACACTGGATACCTTGATGCCACAGGTAGATCCCTTACTGTTTCATCTGTTTTGTTGCACAGAATTATAAGAATCCAGTGCCCCCTTAAAGAGAAAAGAAAATTACCACCATTTGTATATTTGCATGTGTAGGTAAATTATACAATGATAAGTTAGTTATCATCATAAACATAATTATACAGTTTGATGTACTACATTGTACTTTTGCAGCAGTTTTAGTAATGGTTTGCAGCCATTTTTCACTTTTGATGCCAAAGCATGACAGAATAAAGACAGAAATTGAAATCCAGTTTCAAAGTACAATTGAGCATCATGTCATGAGTAAATTCATCTGGTGTTAAACAGAGTAACTTAATATGGTATTAGACAGAGTAAAATAAAAAAGTAGGGCGCATAATAGGTTAATCGCGGTATAATAGGTTAATCGTATTCCTTTACCCTTTGTTGACAGGTATTAGAATCATGTTCTTGCTCCAGATATCTACTTTCCTAGTGAATGATTTTGCACACTGCCAAAGTTCTCTGTAAAAAAAAACATGTGTAAAGAAACAAGAAACAAATGGGACTACATGGAGTCTATTAAGCCAACCCCCCCCACCCCCACCCCCCTCTATGAAGGCCCCCTATTCACACATGTTGCTTGATCTAAACACATATTGTTTGATTTATTAATTTTCCTTACTTAATTTTTTTTATGGGCAAAATTATCCTATCATTTTAACAAACAAATAGATAAACCCCCTCTACTGCCCCCTCCCCCCTCAAAAGTGCTTGAAAAAAGTACAGTACTTAGCAACCCAGAGGGGCTTAATACATTAAAATGCATTCACCAACCTGTCATCTCTGGGAACATTTTTTTCAGCTCTATTTGCTGTTTTGATTCTTTTATGAGTAGATGTCTGAAGCTTGGTCAAGAAATAACTCGACAACGCAATGGTGGATTGCTTTACATTCTCTTGAGCATATTCGTATACCAGGTATCTAACAAAAATAGTTGTATTAACCATTGGAAGACAAGGTTTCATAGACAAGGATTAATCGGGCATTTCATCTACACTCAGATCACGGTTAATAGAACTATTAACCATGCTCAGATAAATGAAGTTGTTTGCCATAGGCAGAAAATAAACTAATTTTTTATAATAAACTAATTTTTTAAAATAACATGCCAGAGTAAAATAACATGATTGCAGCTTAATGGGTTTATATTAATAGGCAATTAAAACAATACTGTATTTCAGTAATTCAGTTTTTGTTATTTTACCTGAGGAAAGCTTCAATAATTAAGTCGTTAACGAGACAGCCAGGGTTTAAACATTCAAGTTCAACTGGAATCAGGAGACTTCTGTACACATCTCTCCAGTTATCAGCTGTGGCTTGTACACGTGAGTCTAAATTCTCTTCTTCATTTTCTCCATCCTCTATGGTTATAGATACTGGAACAGGAACATTCACCTTATACATTTTCTTTAGCATGTTTGCTTTTTTTCCAACACGATTTCGGTGCCACCAGTCTGATCGTCTTTTACCTGGTTTTTTCTTCTTAGCTATACAACCAATATGCTTTAACTTTTGTTTCATTGCTTGTTCAGTGTTTCTTTTTTTATTTTTTTTAGGAGATGCACGAAGGTATATTCCTTCACAGCTCTTTGGAACTGAAGCACTTAACTTGGTAACCAGAATCTGGAGCTCTTTCGTCACATCATTCAAGACGTCTGTGTCTTGGCTTAGGTAAGTGAGTTCTTTAAGTTGCTGTAATGTAGCTCTGGTAATATTTGCCGCATGTTTTGCAGGATCTCTTATTATTTTTCTTTTCTGTGGTAGTTGTGCCACACCAGCTGGTTCGACATCATCACTATGAGGGCTACCTGGCTCTGTTTTGTTGGCAGTGTCATTAACTTCCATCATGTCCTCTGGTTGCTCACCATTAAATGCATTTTTTTCAACATACTTATCAGCAGTATACAGAGATGATTCTCTGTAGTTTAGTGGCAGATTGTACCAGTCAGCACTGGAATTTTCAAACACTGCAAACATATGCTTGCAAGGGCATTTAAATTTTTTCCAGTCAGGACAGCTGCAGGTGGGAGAGGATAAATCAACCAAATAAGTCTGCTTTGTACTTTCTGATGATACTTGAAAGTTTAAGTTTCCAAGATCTTGGATGTCATTCTCTGAATACATTGCCGATGAGTGTATTCTTTGCATGCAGTGCTTTATAAATCCATGTGGTCGACCATGAAGGAATTCTGGAATTTCTTTGTTGTAGGCCTTAATATTCTTATTTAACTTCAGATTCTTCAGCACATATTGTTTGTACTGTTCTGGGCAAAAACATTCCACAATTACTTTAGCAACACCACTCAGTGTTTTGTCAGTTCCTTTTGACAAGTAGTTATACTTAAATACTTTATTTTGTGCTTCAATGCCATTATTTGTATTGATTTTAATGTCTATGTTATGTTCCCTGTATGCTCTTGCCCATCGTTTTTCTTCAGGAAACCAAGTTCCCTGGAGCCAGCTTTGAACTTGTGTATTATTCTTGTACACATCGGAATCTAGAACTTTCTTTTTTGCTGCTGAAACATTAGCTAATGGAGTAGCTGGATTCTGACTCCGTGGTGCATGAGCCATGCTTCTCAAATTGTGTAGCAATGTCTCTCTATCCTCAGATTTAAGGCTGTGCTCGCTTTTTTTTGTCCACCTTTCCCATGCTTGCTCCCTGTGGAAATCACATAAAAAGACCGATGTTCCAACATCTTGAAAAACTGAAATAAGAAAAAAATAGAAAATTAACTAACTCACTAATGGGGCATTATTTTTTTTTCATAATGTATGATTTCAAATTATTCATTATCATTCCAAATAACTGCATGAATATAGCTTATTCTTGCCACTCTCGCTGTCAAGACCCCCTTTCTAATAATCCCCTTCCATACTGTAGCTTCTACCAGTACAATAAACCCTGTAGCCTAATAAGTCCGCGCATAGGCATACGGGACAGGGGGCAGCCCCCCCCCCCCAGATTGTTGGGCAGACTAGGCCAGTCCGGCAATATTCACTTCACAGTCGGGCAATATTGGCTTATTATAAAAATAAATAGGAGAACTGTTATCAATATTGGGGCAAATATGCTATATAATAGTCGAAAATGGAAGAAAAATATAAAAGTTATAATAAATTATAATACATTGTATTTGTTTAGAAAATTGTATTACTGCATTACATGAAAAACGTTTCAGAAGGAAACAAATTTGCATCAAATGGATTTCAGTGGCACTCGTACTGGCACTCACTTAATAATTTGTCCCCCTTTCTGGTAGCCCTGAAAATTAATAGGCCCCCTGGGAGCAGGATTAGATAATTTACAGTGAGGTAATTCTAAAAGCAATATTTCAGGCGTGGCCTTAGACTGCATAATGGGCATATGCCATACAATTTCATATTAATCTAGCCATTTGTACGTTAACAATGTTGTCACTTGCCTGACTCAATGGAGTGAATTTCCACAACTGAGAAGTCTGTCATAAAATTGGCTGGCTTCCATTCAGGGTTCCACTTTCGCAAGACTTGAAGCGCTTCACTCACTTGCCCCTCTGTTTCATCTTGTACAACAAAATCCCCTAAAAGAGTGTTATGATTAGCAATATTTATTGTTGTCAATATTATTAAACCATGATTCAATTTGGCAATAACTTATATTTAGCTGTGCCTGAATTATTCCTTATTCTAAGAATTATTTTATATGTATAATATTATTTTACCTATTTGTAGTTTTGTTTAATTTTTAGTGTTTATTTTTTTCTTTTAGTTTGTATCACATCTACTTTGGAAATGATACCTAATGAGACCTGCACATGTATTCATTTTTTTTCAATTTATACTTTTGTACCAACATACATGTGAATGTTACAGGAAGCAATTAACTATTCAGTACGTACCAACAACTGCATATCCATTGTTGGTTTTGACACAAATAAAGAACAAAGGAAGTGCATAGTTTGTTGTTTTATAAGTAGCATCAAGAAGTGAAATCTCGTTGCCATATTTGACCATCAGACGTTGCTGCCACTGTTCCTGATGAACATATAGAAGTTTCTGGGTTGGTTCTGTGGTTTCACTTTCATCAACTATTGTACACATGCGCAGGAAAAACTTTGATGTAGGGTCTTTTCTTGTCCATTCGTCGATCATTTTTTTCAAATTTACTTGATCTAACTTGCTAAGTTTTTGTTTGTTGGTGGCTCTGTATATGTGATTGATGATGTCTGTGTTGGTTGGATAAAATGATCTGTTGAGCTTTGACGGCCTAGGGCATTTATCATCTCCAAATAATATATTTTCCACATGGTAGGTAAGTAACTTTTTCACTTCTTGCCACTGTGTTACCCCTATTATAAAAAACAATGCCAATATTATAGTTTTGGATAACGACGTAAGGCCAACTGTTCCTTTTAAATTTTTGGAAAATATTATGAGTCAATTAGTCCCACCTGTTGCAACAAGCTCGTGGATTTTTTCAATTATAGTTGGATTAACTGCATTGCCAATGCCAGATACTTCTCCATTTGGGTGGTTTGTGTGTGCTTTTAGGTCTGGAACTTTGACATAAAACCTCTGTATTTTTTAATTTGTGCTTCATTGGTTTCTTTATCAACTTTTAACTTGTTCAAGACAGATGGTTTAAGGACTCTTTCCAGCTAGAATAAGTTAGAAATAACACAATTAGGAAACAATAGTTTATTACTGTACAATGTTTTCCTCAGCTTGGATTCTAGCATAGATATAGCCATGAACAATATCCAAGAGGTTTGTTTCCAGAGTTACTGTAGATCATTCGAGCAACCTCTTGAATATTGTTAATAAATATGTTGAAATATTAAACAATTAAATACCAAGTCACCATGTTTATGTTACATATAGCACTAACTGCTGCAATTCATCTATCATAGACATCAGCATACTGTACAAGGGGTTTATATTGTGTACATGTGAATTGGACTCTTTGTTTACTTCATTCTCACCTGATGTTTGTTTTTACTGGATGTTGAAATGGTATAATCTGGATACACGGTTAACTGCCTGATGGTGATCTGGGCCGTGCATCCAAGCTTTTTGGTTTGCTGCACTCGGAATCGTCTTTTTTTGGCAGTTGGATGGCCATTGATTCCCTATAAGTGAATACATACTGTAGTTACCTGTACTATTAAACAAAAAAATTAGTGAAAAATATTAATTTTCCTTTTATGTGCGATAATTCTTGTGTTACTTGTGTGTACCTTATTTACCATAAATCCTCTATTAAGTCCCCATCTGAAATAAGTCCCACGTTCCTATACTTATGTTTTTTTTGGAATAACATTTAGGGGCGCACCATTAGAAAAGTGATGGGGGGGGGGAGCAAAAATAAAAATAGAGCAGGGGAAACAGAAAGAAAAAAAATTGTGCACCAAAAAAGTTGGAAAAAAAATTCGTGCGGATACTTTTCATTAGGGAAAATTATAAGTTGAAATAAAAAAATTCGTGCAAGAGATTATATTTAAAAAAATTATCAACACAAGCAAAAAATTAAAAAAAAATATTCGTACAAGTTGAAAAAGTCTTCCCCCCCCCATCACTTTTCTAGTGGTCCACCCCTTATCAATGACATTATTTATTAATTAATGACATTATTATTTATTAATGACATTTTTTGGAATGACATTAATGACATTTATTAATGATATCATTTATTGATGACATTATTTATTAATGATACGTCCGGCCCTGACAGGTGGGTTGCCAATATATCTCAATATATAAAAATACCTCCTCAGAATTTGCATTACACTGCCTGCCCGGTCCATAACTACACTCCAGTAGCCTTATTCCATTGATGCAAAATGGAGTACCAAAAAACGGTATTGACAGATCCCCAATATTACTGCTCCATCTCAAATTACCTTTTTGATAAATTAATAATGATTTTAAAATTAATAACACAAAAGCGTGTATTGACTCAGAGGTATTGACTTAAACTATTTATTTCAGGAGTTGGTTTAAGCTTTATGATCACACAATGAATATTACAATGTAAAGAGTCCAGTATAAAATACTATAAATGCAAATGTTTGGTATATGCTAATTTCTGTACCTTCATTTCCATATCTCTTTGCCGAACCTCGTAGCGCAGAAGAACGAAGCTTGAAGGACATCGATCCAGCAACTTCGTATTCCCGCAAAAACGCGTTCAAGTTAATCTCTCCATCAATCCAACCTGTAAAATGTTCATCATTCTCTACGACCTCTTTTAAGTGTCGGTTTATAACCTGTCGAATATCCCGATTATTTGCAATATTTAAATTACCCGCCATTATGCAAATCTTCGCGCAAAATTTGAGTTGAAATCGACTCGATTCCATCGGGCATAGTACAAAACATGGACTGGACTGGACTGGACAGTTGGACTGGACTGGACAGTTGGACTGGACTGGACAGTTGGACTGGACTGATTTTTGATTTTCTCTATTCTTGACTTGCACGTCGCCCGCCATGTCAGGTGGCATGGCACAAAAGAATATTATGAGGAGCCAGAACAGCTCCATATTGGCAGCTCCAGATTGGCGAATCTGGAGCCAGCTCCAGATACAATTTCAATCTGGAGCTGGAACGACTAGTTTGTAAACAAACTGCTTTGGACGCTGAACTACCGATGGATATTCAATTTTTTTGAAAGACCATTTTTACTTGACATATTTCTTAGTATGTGACGGAAAATGAAGTCATTATTCCGTTCCGTTCGTCCATGGTAGCTTCTGAAAGATTACTGTTTTTTCTGACAAAGGGGCTGGTCAGCGGTGGGATAGATCGCAAAGCTCGTTTAAAACCTTATTTTGTTACCCTTATAATGAAAAACTTAAAAATTTGATCGATGACCATTCTGGAGAATGTATTCAAAAGTAAATTCATGCAGTCAACTTATTCCCACATCGCAAAACCGCGATAAATAACTCACGCAAAGTTGAACTGTCTAATTTCGCGCACGGCCCGGCTGTTTTAATTTTAACCTTCCGTGAATACAACAACTTTGGAATCCGTACATTTACGCTTTCGAGGAGTAAGAAATTGATATGTTGATGACATAATATCATTTGTTGCGCTTTTCTGAAGAACTAACGATATAAACAAGTTTAATTTCCGAAACACACGACGCAAACGAGATCGCTAAAAATGGTATTATTATGCGGCTCAAGTCATCGAAAGGCCATAACATGTCAAATACGTCTAGCATCTTCTAAATTGCTTCGCAAATTTCTTGCTAATTTCGCCCTGCCACGAATTTCTAAAAGATGACCCTTCTAGACAAATATTCATACTATCATATTTTACAGCATTTGAAACTTTAGGACACATATCCACCATGAACAACTCATGAAAACACTAGCATTCATTACCGCGATGAGAAATCAACTTTCAAGAGATGTGAAATATTAAACGTAAACAATACTACACTTCCTCAGCTGGCACGTGCCAGACATTTGATAATCTCAGGGGAAAACCGTATCAACTATATAAATATATAATGTCTGACATACATATAAATTACAAATTCTCAAGGTGAGCTCACAGGTTGTTAATATCAATATATCTGGCTTTGTTGCTCATTAACTATTAAAGGGGCCCTACAGTAATTTTTTAGTTGAAAAGCCATTTTTTACATGTTTTGCTATTGTCGGTGTCACAGTGATATGAGTATCCCCGTGTTTTGTGCATCCCCGCACTAATATCCCTAGGGATAAAAGAACCCCGGTGGGGATACCTACAACACTATAAGCGAAAGGATGCAATATTCAAAATATCATAAATACGAGCAGGAGGAAAGTCATTTATCTGTGCCTTTATTTTCCGGTATTACGTATTTACGTTTTTACAGTTATTAAATGCTGCAGTAAATGTGTATAATGTGATTGTGCTTTTGTTGTAAGATAGCATGTTCGCGTCTCCGTATTACTTCATTTCCGACGTATATGACAGTGGAGGAAGTTTAAATATTACAGAACTTCGCGAGTATTTGCAGTAGAAATACGAAAGTACCACCAAAAAAATCCGCTTGAAAGGTTCTATGAAATCGAACAATGTAAAATAGCCATAAATTATAAACTAGGCATACTTGAACAATGTAACCTAACCATATCATACTGTATACAATATAAAACTCGAAGAATGTAAACAATGCATCACTAAGCCATACCTTTCGCCGAATATAACTTCGGCCCCTTTCAACATATCTTTTTGGTATTAGTCTTGTTCGAAACACAATCCAACACACTATTTAGAGTCAGTGGCGTAGCCAGCCCGACAATTTAGTCCCGCTATGCAAATTCGAAATTATTATCATTATTCATTTCTTTAGAAATGGATTGTTTTTACAGTCAATGAACACGAAAATATTTGCATAGCGGGACTAAATCGTCGGGCTGGCTACGCTACTGTTTAGAGTGTTATTTTCAAGCTTGCATGTGCAGTTCTGCATGTTTTATTTCCCGCGAAATGTTAGGAATACTTGTATCCCTAGTGATGTGGGAATGTAGGGTGGTTCTTTAGGGATACGCAGAACACGACCGCCATATTGGCGGGGATACACATATCCCTAGTGAGGTGAGCATGGGGATACACATATCCCTAGTGATATTAGTACGGGGATACACAAAACACGGGGATACTCATATCACTGTGACAGGCTACTTGATATGCGCACGCATGCATGCGTCTTCCGGTGTGCGGAAGTACCCATACTCATTCCCATACTCACGGATACTGCATGTAAGATACAGCCAAACGAGTCTCCGTGGAGTGACTGTAGGGCCCCTTTAGTAAGAATGACTTCATTTCCGTCAAAAACAAACCGTTTGTTTACATTACGGACTTGACTTCCACTTATGATGTACTGTCTGAATATCTAACAACATTTTGGTTCGCTATGCTTCTAAATGAATATTATATAGAGTTTATGTTCAGAAGAATTCGAAACATTCGGAATTTGGGCCATGTTCACGTTAGAGGTCCTCACATTGTTATGAGCAGAACCGATGCCCAGAACGGACTTGACTTCCACTCTAAAATGATGGCAAAATAAATCGTACCCCAGTTGTGATACGGAAAAGGGTCTTCATGTATCATTTAAAATATTTTTCAGAACAAAAGAAAGTTCATTTTCATTGTCACTTCATTTTTAATCTGATTTCGAATTAATATGCCATGTATAAAATAATTTGCTCCTCAATGCTGGGTTATTAATTTTCTCGTAGTACTGACTGAGGGTAGAGAGTGCGTCCCCCTTTCGCAAAATTGTTCGACAAAGCTGAACTAATGCGAGGGGTTGTTTTGATTTCCAATAGTTGTCCATTGTACTCAGCAAGCCTTTCATCATTAGGTCATGAAACCAAGACGGTCTATAGTTCCCGAAAGCAAATTTAGTTTCCTTTAATACTTCATTAAAACATTCTTTTTCCAGCAGTGAAAAATATTCTTCAAGTAGGTTTTCC